ACGTTGGAAAGGGTAGAGCAGAGTAAATTGAGTTTACAGAACCCAACACACAGAAAATAGTAATTGTGAGAGCTGTAAAGAGGAGGTTTGCTGCAGATAAGAAGTCAGAGCTACATTGAGATTAAAGAAAATAAATGGAAGCTGTGGGGTAGGAACCGCCTTACACTTAGCCCTTCTTCCACCAGGGAGGCTTTAGCAAATGGCTCCTGGAGTTAATAGCATCCGGGGCTAAATGCTTCTCTGGATTCTCATGTGCAGTACTTGGATATTCTATGAATTTGTTCTCTTAAACAAGAACCAAGCCAATATTTAATACTCTGAACTTCACTTTCTTTCATTCCAGAGCGGAAGCAGGTAGAACCAAAGTCTCGGATGTCAAATTTGAGTAAATGCTGAACAAACAGTGGTTCTTGATGTGGGTAATAAGAAGAAAGGTACTTGAGAGGAAAAAGAAATCTACTATGTTTATCTTCTTAGGTGCTTAAAAATCCACTTCACAAGCAGTACTTTCTGTGCCATTCTGCTGACCTTTCCCCTCGTTTATCAAATGCATCTATTACACAAGGCAGTTGGTCTTTCGGGAAAATGGTTAGACTGGCCACTTGCTAGAGATTGTCCAGAAATTAGTTACATGTACCGTGATCCATGATCTCTCTTTTGGTCATTTGTCTCTTCAGATCTTTTTTTTACTGGAAATCTGTAAAGTACGTACAAGCAAGTATTACTGTATTTCGTTGAATCTAAGATGTCATCCATTGTAAGATGCTCTTTTATTTTGTATATTGCTAAAAAAAGACTGTCAGTTAAACAGGTTTTCTCATCACTTACCTATTTATGTGCATCCCAATTTCAAAGAAAATAAAATAGGAAGAAGTGTATATTAGAATTTCTGAAGTCTCTGTCTAGATAGCACTATGCTTTGATTGCAAAGGTCAGTAGCTTCAATACTTTTGTTGATAGTGTTACTTTTTAATAAGAGTAATTAATGATGTTCGTACATCTTTGGGGCAAGGATTTATGTAGAGTGTGTAAAACATGTAAATTTTTCTAATAGCCTGCAATTTGGGACAGACTGACAGGCTTTTCATTTTGTGGTTAAACATTAAAAGTTCAAAGAAGACCATTTGCAGTATAACATGATGTAGTGTAATAAATTTTGAACCTGGAATCTGAAGACTAGGTTTGAAACCCTGCCTGTCTGTCCCTTATCCGATGTGTAACCCCAGCTGAGTAATGAAGTTTTTCTGAACCCGTGCTTATGCAGTCAAACAGAGTAAGGATCCCTGCCAAACAAGGTAGATATAAAACCCAAAAAGGCATTTGTAGGCAGTAAACCTTACACAGACGGGAGCTGCTGACATTCTCAGAGCCTTGCCCACCGTGCATCTAGGCATTTCTCAGGGGAGCGGCCTTGAGCAAGAATCAGAGAAGTAAAGGGCTATGGACTGTGGAGACCTTTTCCAGCACACAGGATCCCATAGTATAAGGATGCACACTGAGGAAGGTGGAGGCCTAAGGAGTTGACAGTATATGGCAAGGTGGGAAAATAGGACCATTGTGCATGTAACTAAGGGGCTGGGTCTCTTGGATTGACTTAAGTCTCAGCCATTGGTTGTTGCTCTACGCAAGTTCAACAGTCAAGTTTGTTTGTGGTCAATCAGCTGATTGGCAACAGAACTTTGCGCTAATTAGAAGGCAGAAAACAACCTATGATAGATTCTCTCCTTAAATTTGATTTTTAAGTATAATGAACTATAACCTCAATTAACTTATCTCGGTTTGGTGTCCATTGCTATTTGTAGTATTTTCTTTTGGTGCCTGGTTGGAGGGGTTTTTTGTTGTTGTTGATATTTTGTGGCTCCTCAAAGAAATCCTGTGACACATTTCCAAGGAACAATACAAAGACCTTTTGCCATTGCTCTAAAAATGCTCTAACTTCGCTATAAAGAAAATTGGTAGTTTTGTTATCATCTAGAATTTCGGAAGGAGTGAGCAAAATTGGAAATAATTTTCCAGATGAAAAACAAACCTAGGGGCAGGGGCTGAGTAAGTGACTTTCCGAAGTTTTCACAGCTCTTAAGCCCTAGGTTAGGGCTTCATTAAATCTGGGTCCTTGTCCACTTTATGGGAGTAAATAATTATAAGTACAAATATTTGGTGGCTTTTGGTGCCGATTCTTTGAAAGGGAACTCTGAGTGACTTGTGACTATTTTGTGGCTGGTGCTTCCTGTCAATCTACCAAAGGCAGCAGGGGCGCAAGATTCAGAGGAGTGCCGTGGGGCTCACTTGGTGCTGTAGCCACGTGGCTGTGTGGTCCTAGCCTGGTCACTTCACCTCGCTGCCCAGGGTCTCAGTTTGCAAACTGATGGACAGAGGAGAGTGGACCTGATTGTCATGACGCTTGGGCCTTGGCTTCTTCTGTGACTGTTTTGCGGTCATTGCTAATCCCTTAGCGCACATTCCCCACCCGGTGACAGGCTTTGAATCCTCACTCTTCATCCGGCCTTTTGGCAACCACTTTGGATTGATTGCCGTTAGGAAGTGAAATGAAATCTATTTTCCATCTTGGACCATTTGATTTCTATGGTCCTTTTGAACTTTTAACATTTTCTGATTTTTCTGAAATTCCCAAATCCTGGCCAACCTTCTCCCCAAATCACTTAATATTAGGACGGTTTCAGTAGGAGTAAGTGGAGAAATCAAGGAAAATTCATGGTTCTTGGCAGAAAAAAAAAAAGAAAAACAACTTCAAGGGCATGGATAGAGTGAGTTCCGCTTGTCATCCTGGATACCAAGGATATTGTGTGGTTTTAACCATGTAAAGCTTTTTTTAAGCCAGAGGCAGGAAAGCCACGTCCAGAGGGAAGGTTCCTTCCAGGCTGGAAGAAGTAACTTTCAAGTGTTTCTCATCTCAGGTCCTGGCGTCCCAGTTTAAGGACATTTTGAGTTTCTCAGGGCAAAGGTAGACAGGCTGTTGTTTTTCTTCCCACCAGGGACAACCCATTTGCAAAGATGATATTGCACATGAAACATACTCATAGAAAACTGGCAATTTGAAGAGGACAGAAACATACTTTGTCTGTTGCCTTATAAAATGTTAACATTGAGTTATTCATCTAACCATGATTCCTATGTGTGAGGTCTTACCAACCAAGTGGGGAGCATTTGTGTTAACATTTACATCCTCAGTTCCTGCTCCTTTGGCCATTATGACCATGTCCTGCCCAAGCGAGAGGAATGGCAATGATGACTCTGGTAGTGACAAGTCTCCCCAGACAGAGTGATTCTCAGTCCTCACTTTCTTCCCACTTGTAGCTAGTTTTTGAAGTATAGTTGGTTTACAACGTTGTGTTAGTTTCAGGTGTACAGCAAAGTGATTCAGTTATACATATACGTATTCTTTTTTGGATTCTTTTCCATTATAGGTTATTAGAAGATATTGTGTATAGTTCCCTGTGCTATAGAGCAGGTCCTTGTTGTTTATCTATTTTATATATAGTAGTGTGTATCTGTTAATCCCAAATTCCTACTTTAACGCCCCCGCCTCCGCTGCCGCTTTCCCCGTTGGTAAATGCGAAGCGTTGTTTTCTATGTCTGTGAGTCTGTTTCTGTTTTGTAAATAAATTCATTTGTATCATTTTTTTTTAAGATTCCACATATGTGATATCATATGATGTTTGTCTTTCCTTGTCTGTGCTGGATCCTTTTATGTTCTCCCTCAGCATTGGTTTGTGGATGGGACAGAGCGCAAAATACTGAAGCTTTTTTTTTTTTTTTTCTATTTCTCTTTCCTGATGCTTTTTTCCCTAAACCTTATAACGGACGTTGTTTTTTCCCAGCACCCCACCCCTGGCCACCCCCTGCCCGGGCATGTGCACACATTGTGATGCTGTGGCCCCCATTAGTGGGAACCGGAACAGATGCACTTGGAGTAATGGATGTGCCTCCTCAGACAGGCCCCACGCCCCTCCCCCTTTCAGATGCAGATATCTTTCAGCATCTTGAAAAGAGGGATTAGCCCAGGTTGTGTCCTCCTGCAGCCTCTGCACACCCTGTCCCTGTCAGTCCAAGCCCTGGAGTTTGGCTTCCCCTCATTGTTTGCCTCTGAAGCCCTCACTCTCTGCAGCTCCTGAATTGCCTCCATTGTCCAGACATGCTGCCAGAAACTGGAGTCTGTTTTTGGGGCCAGGAGCTCTGTCCCTAGGAATCCAAGTAATAACTTAATAGCCTTTGGCCTCTACCAGGCATCCTCTGACAAGGGCTTTGTGAGTTGCAGAGCACACGGATGAAGGCAGTGCTCCCCAAATCAGCTGTTTGCTCAGCCTGTGTGTTTACTGAGAACTGAGGCTTTATAGAGCTCTGCACCCCAAAAGAATTTGACACAAAGGGGGTGAAAATCAATAGCATCCGATCTTCCAGTGAAAGCTGGGGAGTCAGCATTAAATCTCTTGATATACGCGTGCATCTATAAACACACACACACACACTTTACTTCTAGGCCTCTTTTACAGTTTCATTTTTTCAACTTCTGTTTTGGTTATCTCCTCATATGCCCAATGCTAGTCTGGTATTTATTTCTTAAGTGTTATGTAATTCTTCCCGTCCAACTTTCAAGGCCTACACAGTTCCACCTTAGGATAATACTTGATTCAGGGGATTAAAGCAATTTAAAGCTCAGTTCCCCTCCCTGACTTCATAACCGAATGTGAAGGAATGATATCTAAACACGGCGGCCAGAGACTTGAATTTAAGTCCAGATTGGAGCCTTTGATCCAAGTGTTTTATGGTATTTTATTGGATGACATTGGTACTCAAAAATATACATACATGTGTTATTCAAAGAGCAGTTTGCTTCTTGATGGGTTCTCAGATTGTATCAGAACCTAACCTATTTTAAAAATTGCCTGTTTCCTCGTGATTATGAAAGACTAATACCTATTAAAGTTTACTTTTCTTTTGCATATTACTGACACTGTTTTTTCCCTTTTTTTTCATTTTAGGAAAGCATGCCTCAAACTCCTCCGTTTTCAGCAATGTTTGACAGCAGCGGTTACAACCGGAACCTCTATCAGTCTGCGGAGGACAGCTGTGGAGGGTTGTATTACCATGACAACAACCTCCTCTCCGGATCTCTGGAAGCACTCATCCAGCACTTGGTACCTAATGTGGATTACTATCCGGATGTAGGTATCCGCGTGCCCCTGAAACACATCCTCCGTATCCAGCAGAATTTACAATAGAATAGACAGGGACACTAGATGCTGCAGAATTCTATCTGGCTTACTAAGAATTTTTCTAATAAGAAATTGCATATTGATTATTGAGTGCTTTGAGATCAGATTGAACCTGGATATGATATGTCTGTGTATCAGTTTTCCTTTCAGGGTTGGTATCACATTGTAGTCAGTCAGAGACCATCTAAATGAAATACCTGTAAGGTTTGACTCATGCATATACCTTGGTCCTTAAATAGAAATGCCAGAGAACATTAGAATGGTTAGTGCCTTTTTCGTTTTGCAAAACTATGCTGAGAAAAGTGAAGTTACACAGGGAAACTTCACAGAAAAGAGAACAAGAGTTACATTCAAGATGCAATTCTTTATAGATTCGACATCAGATGACAGGTTCGCTTGTTTATGTTTTACTTTGATAACTGACATTGGTATGGATAATCCTTTCTAATTTAAGGAATTCGTTTACATTTTCTCAGTCTTTACAGCCATTCCAAGAGGTTAGAGAGGAAGAAAATGAAATTCAGAATGTTGAGGAATTTGCACATGGTCTCACTCCCAGCATCAACATTCAAACCCAGGTTTTCTATTTCTGGGGCACGTGATGTTTCTTCCCCCTTCCCTTGTGCTACGGCTGCCCCTGTTATGCAACAGGTGCTTGTTGATAAAGATTTCATGAAAATATCCAGGCGCTAGATTCGAATGTTTTTATAAATATAATAATGACCTTGGTGTGCAGAGGATAGTTTGTGCTTGCCACTGTAGTTCACCATAATGTTTCTTACTGAGTTATCTCTGTGTGTGTGAGGTTTGTTACATAGCATTTTCAAATATGTTGCAACACAGGGAAAACTTCTAATCAAAAGTAAAAGGCATCCCTTGTTCAGCCCTGTAAGTGTTTATGAGCTACAAAAGGCACCTAAGGGGAAGAAAAATCCATGGAATTTTTCTTCTTATTGGGAGTATGAAAGTATTATAACAAATAAGCTTTACTTCATTACTGGCTTCTGGGGAGACATTGTGGTTAAAGAAAAGTATATCGTGTGACATTATGTTTTATCAAATTGCTTAGCCTTTGAGCAAGTAAATAGATTACTTGAAAGTCTGTCTTTGAATGTTCTGACACAAGCACACAAATGCTCCAGTGTGTCATACTGGACCCACTGGAGATTTCTTGAGCTGATGTGGGTTGGGTGATTTTTTGGTCTCCATTGAGTTACCATAATATTTGGACACAGAACAAGATTCTGTACGGGTGGTATATTTAAGTTAGATTGATCTCCCTGGGCTGAATTTCATTCTTCTTTACTAGACTGAGTTATATGTCCTGGTATCCTGGCTCCCAGAGGATGGATGTAAAAATGTACTGTGAATAATTTAGTAGCTAAACTTACCCTGTACTTCTGTTATTTTTAGTATGGTTTAAGGGAAAATATATATCACAAAGTAAAGGAGAAATCCATCTTAGGTTGTTTTACTACTAGTAAGCATCACTTTTGAAACTGTAGCATTTTAACTTTGCTAAAGAGAACTTAGTGCTATATGATGTATAATATATAGGAAAGATACTAGTTTCAGAGAGAATATAACCATGATGACTTTTTTTTCTCTTGCCACAGAGAACGTACATATTTACCTTCCTACTGAGTTCTCGGTTATTTATGCATCCGTATGAGCTAATGGCCAAAGTTTGCCACTTATGTGTTGAGCACCAGAGACTAAGTGATCCTAGTGGTGATAAGGTAATGATACCTTATTTGAGCTTAACGTTTTTTTCCATTAAGTTTGGTAGCTTTATGGCTTAGATTTTGTGAAGTTGGTTTCCTTAAGTAACCATAGCTTCTCCCCAGGCTGAGGTCCATAAATGGTATCATGGCTATGCAGAGGGAATTGGAAAGGTATAAAGAACAAATATAAATCTAGTGCCATGGAAGATCCCTCCGTCCTGCCTTAAGTTGGTAGCACTTGACATTGACTTGGGAAAGGGGAACAAGAGTCTTTTTTTTAACCCCAAAGACTTTGCACTAGAAGTTTACCATTAACCCTGTTTGTAATTATTTATTTGATAGATATCACTGAATTTGATTTGCTTTTTCTCCCTAGAATCAGATAAGAAAAATTGCACCCAAAATTCTTCAACTCCTGACAGAATGGACAGAAACGTTTCCTTATGATTTTCGGGATGAAAGAATGATGAGAAACTTAAAAGATCTGGCTCACCGAATAGCCAGTGGCGAGGAGGTTGGTAACCTGAATTTAGTACAATTACTCGAATTTCCAGGCAGGGTCTTGGTGAGAAGTGGTGCTAAATTATGCATCGGCATCTCTGCTGCTGCTTTTCTGTTGTTGCCTTTGGGCAAGTCCTCTCCATGGCATACTGGTCTGTTTGGTGTGTCAAAGGGGGATGATTATACAATCCCACTTCAAAGGGATGTGATCTAGAGTTTTATGTGAGTAATTTGGGGGTCTGTTCATGTCAACTCAAGCACAGGATTCATGATGCAAGTGTGTTTTCATTTTATTTTATTTATAACTTTCTTCCTTCCAAAAAGATTTGACCTAGCAAGTTAGATTATAAATATCACATTAGGAGATATAAACACTAATACATGTAAAATAACATATTTATACATTAACAGGTAATAAGTAATATATTAATAAATCAGAAATAGAGAGTTTGTATCATGGAAGGGAGAAGACAAATGTGCTAATACTGAGAATCAGTAGAGTAGGGCAGGATTGCTGTATTTTAACTGTAAGCTCCAGGTAAAAGGGAAATACAGTTGGTTATGTAATTTTCACCGCCAGAAAAGAAAAAGCATAGTAATCCTTCAAAGCATTAAATTAAATGACATTTTAAAAAAAAATTCCTGCAAGGACTTTGTGAATGAGATCATGGAAACTGCTCTGTATAGTGTTTATAACAAATGCTCCTTGATAAAAACTGAGGCCATAAGATTAACATATAAATTAGCAAAGGTAATTCTTTAGGAGTGGAGAAGACAAAGAAAAAAGGATCCAAGTCTTGTGCCTGGAAGTTGATTCAAGGCTTAGCACCTAGACTTAGATGGAGATGGAAAGTAAGTCTGTTAGATAATCTTTCATAAATATCACTTCCCTCAAGTGAGCTACCTAGCTGTGACAAATTCAAGGTTATCCTCTTTGAAGCAGGCCTGGAAGGCTCTTACTCTGTTTTGAGGCTTGTTGGGCAAGGATATCTTTGTAGTTTCTGTACTTAGGCACAGATACAGTGTTAGAAAAAGGTAGATGAAGCATTTGGCAAAGGCTGTGATGTCTTGTTTCATCCGTAGTAAAATGCATTTTCCCATTATGAATAACCTACCTGGAGAAATCATTCTTTCAGGGCTGTGCTGTCAAGATCATGGAACAAGACACCTATCTAGTCTGTCTACTTCTGGCGAAAACATTTTAATACTGTTTCCCCTAACTTTAAAAAAAATCAGACAAATTATATAAGATTAGCACTTGAAAAATACGCACTTGCTTCCCGCATTGTGTTTTCATGAAAATGGAATTAACCCTTTTACACTTCCCCTATGACATTATATTGAACACTGGTGCTCAAGAGAGCCATTACTTCTGCAAGCCTGAATGAGTGGCTCCCTGAGTCCTTCTGCAAGTTATGACTATTCTAATCATTTTGCTAGTTTGCGTGTAACAGGTTCTAGCAAGGTAGGAATTGGTAGGTCCATCACTCACAAAGGCAAAAGTTAAGCATCACAGTTTTGTAGTAAATCTTTTCTTAGAGGGGAAGCTGTTGTGTTGCTTGGCAGGGTCAATGCTGGCTCCGTGACCTAAGTTTATGGCAAGCTGCTCAAAAGATTAGTGGCATCATAAGGGCTTTTTCTTGTGTGGAGGCTGAGCTCCGAGTCAGGCAGTGCTTTACTTCAGTTAAGTTCTGTGTCAGTACTTAACTTGATGTGGCAGTCAGCTTCCCTTCCTTCTGTTGCCTTTTTGAAAGGTAGAAATGACGACTTGTTTTTCCCAAAAGGAACACCTTAAAAATCTTTTTCCGATACAATGCCAAATGGATGGCTTTTTGTCCTTCTTGTCATGTGAGTCCATGAGGGGGGTCACTTCTATCTGTGTTGGCCAGATTGGTTCCCATCTCTTTTTAACAGGATCAAGCCCCTCAAGAATTGGATGGAACCAAGCATGGGGACCAAAATAGCCTTGTGCCTGGGCTTCTTATCAGCCGTCCTGTGTTAATAACAAATCCTTGATAAACCTGAGATCTTCAGACGGTTTTGAGTGTGAAAAGAGATGAGAAGATAAGCCTAGGGCTTGAGTGGAGAGATGTCACCTGCCATGATCAGGTTGGGTTTTCCGGTGAGATTGTATTCCTTCAGTCACTTGTAGACAGTATTCAGAATCGGGTCCACGTTTGGCAGTGGTTGATTTGAGTGCTTTGGCAAGTCCCCTAAAGTCTCTGCTCCTTCATTTCTGAATCACAGAGGTAACCTCCCTGTAGTAATGTCCCTTTCAGCCCTAAAATTTTGTGGTGGATGCTCTTTTCCTCAGTTCTGTGCTTGGGAGGCCACTTATCTGCCATGTGCTTAAGTGTCTTTCCTTGCAGACACCTTCCCTGGCCTCCCCAGCCATGGTCATCCCCCATTCTTGGCTTTCACCACCCTTTCCCTCAGAGCACTCTGTGATTAGTAATTACTTTCTTTATGACTTGTTTTCCCTCACTAGACTCCATGCTGTGCTCCTTTTGTTCAGAGCATCCTTAACTCCTAGCCCAGTATCTGGCAGTTAATAGGCACTCAGGAGAGTTTGAATGAATGAATGACTGAGCAAATGAGTGAACAAACGAATCGGTTACTGGAATAGGAAAAAACTATTTCCCTCTGCTGAAAAGTTATCTCCCTGCATGGGAAGGAGTGTGCACTTGGGTTGGGACTTGCTGCTTCTTGCCTGGGACTTTAGGGATTTTCTTTGGCAGTCAGTGGATCCAGGTGTGCCCTCTATATAACTTAGTTGAGTTCTTCTGAATCTGCTAGGACAGTTCCACATAGTATGGCTTAATATGTTCCCCCCCTCCCCCCCCCCGCTAAGGATTTGCCAAAAATGAAGAGGTTTATTGGGACCTCACAGCAAGAAACCCAAAATGAAACTGATGATTCAATTACATGACAAATGACTATAGTGGGTACAATGCAATTTTCCTTACGGGGCCTGTTTTTATTCTGTCTTTATTTGCCAGGTAATTACTGTCACTGGCATTTGAAGTTATAAAAAAGAATAAGTACATACTTGGCAATCCATGATTCAGTGAAAAAAGCATGCTTAACAACACGAAGCTTTGGTTTCTTGAATGGAATCAAATGGCAACAGCAAACTTCTTTAAGAGGTCACACACATATTCTCTCTCTCTCTCTCTCTCTGTCTCACACACACACGCGCACACTCACGTTCTTTGTTATTTGAATCGCTTTTCCCCTATACCCTATTGCATACATGTTCTCCTCATATTTTGCTGCGTTTTGCTCACTAGCCGAATCCTCCACTATACATTACCCTACCTCTTTC